AACGTTGAGTGGTTCATCACCAACGCTAACGTATAAAATGGATTGACTTAGCCTCATATTATGTACGATATATGAAGGTGTTGCAACGTCGTAGTTTATGCAAAAATGGACAGACAAATAGATATAATGAACCTTATACGTATGCAGAGGAGGGTTATATCTAAAGGTCGGTACGACGTGATGTTGACATATAATGATCAAGTAGTGAGTGTTGATGATGTGGTGTTAGCAGATATATGAGAGATTTATATTTGAGGAGACAGATGTATATATTTATATAGTGCATCTGTAATGGTTGGGAAAAGGATTGAAATGTTGCACATGACTGAAGGTGAAAATGGATACATGTTTACTGGCTTGTATTGAAGCTGTCAGTGAATCGAGTCGAACGGTGGTGTTATCATACGTATTGTCACTCTATATTCGTATCTAGAATATACAGATGTTGTTTTGATGCAACTCAATGAATTGACGACGGGAACGATGTTGCTTTATGCAACACACAGGTCGATCTTGTCTGTACAGTGCTAGTAATCTGAACATGAATATGATCAATACAAATATTACTAGCGGATCTATTGAGGATAGTGAATTTCATTCACATTTTGGCACACACATATCGATTGCCTTCTTCGATTCCAGTGCAATATGTTATATCTTCTCCTCGATCATGTACACACTCGAGGCTTCTGCTTTTTAGGAAGCTTTCTGTCGCGGGCACTTGTGCAAGTCAATCTACATTTGTTTACAAGATCAAATCAGAAATCATTATTTCTCGTTATGAAATGATGAGATTTGTATTGAGATATAATTATAACATAAATAGAGCCAGACAATGTGACTCTCTTCGACTAATCGTCTGCTCGATTATCGGATTTGCTTATTTTGATTCTGTTGTCGTTAGTTGCATGTGTTAAGTAGATGCTGCCACTGCTTTTCATACACATCTAACTGATAACGAATCGATCATATTTCATCAAAATAAATCGATTACTGCATTCATATAGAAAATGATGTCTTGTATATATGATCTTCATCGATCGATATATGCTATTGATGCATTCGATCATATATATATATATACATATGATCGAAGAGGAACATGGTTACGATCATGAGAAGCAATACTGTCTGAATACATGCTATACGCATATACACAAATTATCCTGTTTAGACGTTTGTAGTCTTATATTTGCAGAGATTAAATTTTAGAAAAGTCTTGAATCTAAACATCTTGAGAATGTTGTAGTGAAGAAGTCTAAAAATTCTACAGATTATTGATGTATTCGAACTAAATATTGATTTAGTCTATACTAAACTTAGAGATTTTAACAATTATCCGATTAGAACAAGTATCGTCATATAATAGCCAGTTCTTCTGTTAATTAAACACAATGTTATTATAATAGTATTATTAAGTAGTAAGATGCATCAACAGAAATGCTAGCATCATATTTGAATGAAACCTAATCATTTTTATACTTTATCTTCATTCGTCTGTACTTGTTTGAATGTTTCTGTCAAACTCGCTCTCGTGTCTTAGTCATTTTAATCAAGATTGAGTGTGTATTATGCCGCATTTGTTTTCACTGTGTTAGTATTACTCTCATTTTCTATCCTGTTGTTTTCATCAAATTGAAGAAAATTTCTGATCGATAATTAATCGTAACGTTATTGATAGATTTCTTCGAGTTTCGAAAAAGATGACTACTTAAACAATGAGCGAAATCAGGATCGTAACATGTTTGTAGTTATCTTCAATAAATCATATCTTAATGTTGAGACAACTGTAGTTCTTCATCTTCTTATATGTTTTTGTTTTATTGTCTATATACGAAAAACAATTTCCATCTAACTTCTTATCATCTTGACTAATTCATGTTAATGAGCTTCTACATATTTTGTTCAATAAGTGCTCTTCCTCTTCCATTTCATTNTATTTATTTTGAATACTTATTGAAATATCCTTAACGTGAACAGACACCCTGAATTTATTTTCGTTCTGTTTGGAGTTCTTAATGTGGCGCGTCTTCTGTTGGAATGATACGTGGAGAAAAATTCCACTTCACTATACGTCTATTTGATAGCCATTAATATGTGTATTCGGTTTGACAAGATCGAAAATAAGTATTAGGGAAAAAACTAGTTAGAAAATCACTGTCCAGTTTTTTGCATTCTATCCTCGCAAAATCTTTCGGATCTCGTAACTTCACTCTTTGTGGTTATGCCTCAAAAGTCAAAAAGAAGATCTCAATCAGCCGCAGCTATAAAAAGTCGTTGGGCTAAGAAAAATGTTGATTTATTAGATGATGGTTTTGTTCCGGATATCCCGACCGATCTGCATGACTCAAATGAAAATAATAAAGAAAATAATTGTTTAAAGAACAAAATGAGCGTTTTGGATATTGGAAACTTATTTGAGGCATTGTCGGAAGAGACTTCCATTCGGCCGCTATCTGTATTAGTTTATTTATCATCGGTGTATTTCGGAATATCTTGGCGAGACATTGATTTATTTCTAAAAGCGATCGGTGGACTTACCGCGAAGACTTGCAACAAATGGAGTACAGATATAATCGAACAAGACTTAGAAGAATTTCTGCAAGACAACAGAGGTGGTAAAGATGAAGAAAGTTTTTACGACACTTATCCGGAATTAGAAAATTTAGCCAAATTATACGTTTTGAATGGCTGTAAAAGAAAATCAGCATCTTTCACTTGTTCTGAACTGGCAAGTTATGTAGATGATGAATATTATAAACTAACTGGAGAGGTAAGAAGCCTTTTATTTCTTCCATCTATTTATGTATTTTTGTTGCATATAGACCAAAACCACGAAAGAGTTAATTCGACCAGAAAGAGGTTGCTGTCGAGACATGAATCGTTGGGGATGTAAATTCGACAAAAGTACAGCGAAACCGTACTAGGCTGGCCATGAAAGACCTGATGTCGTTGATGCGCCAACAAAATTCGTAAACAACTTTCTAACATACCAGGATAAATGTTATCGAGTTGAAGAAGGAAAAGATCCGCGATGGAACATCCCAAAGAAAAGTCAAACTATTCTGATATGTATAGTTCTTTTTTCATAGCCTTAAAAGATAGATTTTTTTCTTTCTATAGTTCATGATGAATCGTGCTTCAGAAGTGGTGAAACAGCTGCTAAACGATGGTTCTATTCCGACGATACTATCTCGTTTTTCAATAAGGGTCGAGGACGATCGCTGATGGTGTCAGACTTTTTGATTGCACATCCTGAAAATCCTTTCTTCCAGCTTTCTCAAGACGAATGGGCAGCAGCTGTAAAGAAACATCCGGAATTACTCGAAGATGATGCCATTCAATATATTGAACGATCAGCTTCTGGGTCGATTCAGGTGGGCTACGGTGGATATTTTGATAAGGATGCGATCATTAATCGATTCACTCGCTTATTCAAAATGTTACCGTTGAAAAAAGCTTACGCAAATCACAAGTTTCATGTCATTGCCGATAGTGCTCGCACGCATAGTGCTAAACAATATTCTGTTGAAGATTTTGGAATGAAGCCTGGAACTCGTTGTTCAACTGAGAAAATATTCTACAGAGATAAGCATGGCAAAGCACTTACCATTGACTGTTTTTTCACAACTGGTGTAAACAAAGGGCAATCAAAAGGTTTACTTAACTTGGCCAAGGAGTTGGACATTGACATTCCACAAAAAGTAAAATTAGAAGAGCTGAAACGCCTACTTAATTTACATGAAGCATTTAAGAACGTGAGTATTCCACGAATGATGATCTCAAATTACATGTGATTGACTAATATACTGTTCTTACTTGAAGGTTTCAAAATCGGAAATAGCTGCTAGTGAATATGGTGTAACAATATCTTTCTCGCCGAAATTTCATTGCGAGTTGGATCCAATAGAGGCACTATGGGCACTTTTGAAGCAGTATATCAGACGTCGAACGGATCAAACCTTTCCTACAATGCTCAAGTTAATTAAAAAATCCAGAACGAATTTTATTGAGAAAAATGTTTCTCTTAAACTTATCAGAAGATTCCGGCGTACTTTGATCGCATATGAACGTGGCGACTCATATGAAGATGTACTGAAAATGTATTGCAGTTCCATATGCAGAGCTAACGTGATTTCTCATCGTCAAATCACTAACGCCAGGCTAGATGACTGATTTTGTTGTTTACCGTATCTGTTCACCTTAAGGATATTTCAATAAGTATTCAAAATAAATAGTCGTTAGAAAGATCTTTATCATTATAAACATATGAGTAGCTCAAAAAGAAGAAATTAAAGCGAAAATAGTGTTAAAAATCAAAGAAAACAAATCCGATAGGACGCGTGTAAAAAATGATGAAATCTTGGGAATGAAAGTGGATCGAGGAAAAAGGATACGTAGATTATATCTAGGGCATCTAGGAAGTCGAGCGATGAAAGGAAAAAATGTATATCTTTACTAGAAAATGAGTTGATGCATTTTTAATGAGAAGCACTCAATTTGTCCTCATATTAACAAAACTGATTTTTCTCAATGACAAAGACATGAGTCGAACCGCTAAAAAGCAGTGTCCTAGAATCGGTTTTTGATGCTGAATCAGGAGCAGAAACTTCCAAAGGTATAACATATTTTTGGAAAACCCTACTGTCAAATTTCGAGTGAAAATCCTGACTTTTCGAAAACCTCGGCTTTTGTAGTATTTTGAAGATTTCTTCTCGAAGACGACTTCATATGTCACTAAATTATACATATTCGGATTCAGCGCATCAAACTGCATCATATCACATAAAAAATTCAACAAAAAAAATTTGCTCCACTTTTGCTTGTCGCCAACCTTACAGAGAAACAAGTGGCATATGAAGTAAACTGTATTTGTTAGAAAAAGACGTCTCACCATAAAACATCCACACGGACTCAAAAGAATGAATTCTTCTAATACACATAAGAGAGCAGAATCGAAAGTAATAGTAGGAAAATAGTATAAAACGAAAAAAAGTTATATTTCATTTTTTTGTTTCACTTGTACAGCATAAACTACGCATGAAGGATAGTAAACTTCAGTAACCATCCACTAACATGCAAACGACAATTCTGCATATATTCACGAGAACAAGATAGAAGGAAACATACTGTTATATACCTTCAGAAAAGCTAACAGGTGTATTTATAGAGGATAAATATACGTGAAAATTAATAAATTTAAGCTATTTTCTAAAAAAAATTGAATCGCCTGGAAAGGGATAATGTGACATATTTTTGATACGCATTTTCACGAAGATTTTTCATTCTAGAAATTGGTCGAATACTAAATACGAAACAAGCTAAAAGTAAATATCAATTATAGGTTGCTTCTGATTTTAACTAGCTAACTTCAGATGATTTCGATGGAATCTCGCACTAAAATCATCGAAGTGATCTCAAACATAGGATACTATCCACTGAATTTTGTTCATGGAGTCGATGCAACGAATTTTATTGAAGTCTTAGAATCAAGCGGTCAGTTTTGCTCTTTAGCGACAACGTCGGATTATGCTTTTCTCGAGATAGTGAAGAAGTTTAATTCTAACGATCGGATTATGATTCGACAAGAATTATATGAACATTATTTACATGAATGTGACCTTATTAAGTTTCGAATAATTTCACTGGAAAAACATGATTTGGGTGAATCCATGGAGATCCAGCCACTTTTTGGAAAGGTTTTTTTTTCGATTTTTTTTACTTCAAAATGCCGGTATGCTTTAGAAAACACTTTTGATGAAAAAAAATTATGTGTTTTCTATCAAAAATTCCGAGTTTCCGAGCATTTTTTCGGAACACCTATCGTATATTTTTATATATAGAAAAAGTGTTGGGAAAAAGCGTGGAACTTCTTTAAAAGCATTTTTTTCGTCGTTTTCTTGTGTTCATAAATATAAACGAAGTCTAGAAAAATATTTTCTGAGAAATATTAGACACGTCCTGTTGAAGGTCCTAAGTGCTGAGGCATTTTCTGTGTATTCACATCGTATGACCAAAGAAATCTAGTATAAGGAGGAAACGAAAAGAGGCGTACAAGCTAGCCGAATGCTGAGGATCATCATCAAGTCTGAGTTTTAAAAAATTTGATCGACTGGAAAAGATATAAAAGGATTTTTATTTAAATGCAAATGTCCTGAACTGTGTTGACCGAGATGTCATACTATATTGAACCATTGAGTTGCTGATCGGTTGGAATTCATGCATAGTTCGAATTCCTTTTATTGTACCTAAATTAATACGGACATAAAGGAATAGAAGCAAAGGATTTTCTTACCTGTTGCGCGAAGTTTTTCGTTTCTAGCTTTCAGACAATTGTTCTTAGCTTCTTCTACTTCATCTGATTCAAGAAAGAAAACATGAACACCAGGAATATCTTTGCTAGATCTTCTTGCTGTTTCAAGCTGTTGTTTTTGTGAGAATTCGTAGAAGTCTTTTGCATTTGTCATGAGGATGTTTTTGGAAAGTGTAGCACGTCTGGCGATGGACTTCAGTACTGCACCGATACCATCACCAGCACCTTTTCCATGACCTGTAGCTGTAAAAGTCCAACAAGCGTCCAAATCGAAGTCTTTCTTATGATAAATCAAGTTCAAAATGCTTGCATTGTTTTTAAAGTGGGCACATGCACCATCACTAAACGAAAGACGAGAGTTGACATAGCACATAAACTATAAGAAAAATAAGATTTACCTCACATAATTGATCTTCTTTACCAATGGAAAGTTTTTCTTGATGAATTCGGTAAGAATTTTTTGTGCACAGTGCACAAAAGACGTTGTATATTCCATGTAATTACTAATAACTGCTAAATTTCTCTGTTCTTTTCCAATGGTTAGATGGATTGTAAATAAGGTGGCTTGATGGTAACTGAAAAATCCTTGCTGAACTTCACGTTGACGTATCAGCGTATAATTCATAGAAAAATCGATCTGAGCAACAACGAAAGTCTTTTCTGTTGATTGACAGCGCAACTCTTTGATATATTCACGTCGTTCGCGATTAATGTGTGTGTGAAGCAAGAATGAAGACCATTTTTCTTCAATTTCTGTTAATAAAGAGTCAATTGAGCCAGACATCTGTTGAAGGTCGAACTTGTTATTGACTTTCTTCCATAAATTCCATGAACATTCATCATCCAAATCGATCATATTGGTATCTGTGAGAATATTTGTGATGCTTGCCGTTGGACAACTATCACATTCACCATTAAAGCACTTTTCATTCGAGACAGTGCAAACGATTTGAGTGATCAGATCCTTCATATTGACCTTGTTAGTAGTTGATAAAGAACCTACACTGGCACATTTTCGATAGTAGTTGTTCCATGCCTGTAATAAACCTATGTTACATTCGAATCAATATACAACTGGTACAAACATTCAATAACAGGTCCATATTCTCATGAATGATGCACATACACGTGTCATGTGGTGTAGCAGTCTTTACTTCTCGTGGTCGAAGAACATTGAAAGTTGATCTTGCAACAGCTCCAGGATGTCGTTCATTGAATATTTGATAAGCATCCAATACAGTCATTTCCAAAAACCGAACTGCTACTGGTTGTCCGTTGATTTTAATTGTGTCTTTGGAATTGGATGACATTCGACTGATACCATCTTCACAATAGAACTTGACAACTGCATCAATTGTTGAATCAGGCAAAGACATATTCCCCCGTAGACATTGTGGATAAGCTAGTACTCCATTATTTTTTCGAAGAAAACGCGATCGTCGAGCCTGATTTGGCTTTGATTGAAACCTGATAAGTAAAAGAAATGTTAGTAACATTTGATTGAAAAATGCAAAGATATTGAAAGCAATGAGGATAAAATACGTACCATTTTTCAATTTTTAGTCGACCCCATCCTTTGGGAGCAATTGTCATCAAACGAACTTGTTCACTAGCATCACTATCCGCATATAACTTTTTTAAACCGTCCAAAAGTTCATTTGATTCACATATTCTTAGTCCATGAGGATTTGGATCAGGCGAAGCATGAGACTTTCCATCTAATATGTCACATAAACTATTGAGTCTACTATACACCTCATCGACTTTTGCTCGAATCGGTAATACTGCTGATCTAAATACAAATGACGTTTCAGAAAATTCAGATTAAATTTACAAACGAACCTGTCATGGATCGGTTCTATGTTCAATAGTTCGAATATCTTTGCTAATTCTTTCATTGCTTTGTCTTTTTGGTGTTTGATTTCATACAAGACATGATCTGTCTCTTCTTCCATCGATTCAGGATCAGTTATTTCATCAGCACGTGGTGATTCATCATCGTCATTTGACTCAGCTATAATACCACTGTCCATATGAGGATTTTCTTTCTCTTCTTCATTCAGATCATTAAATTCCACATTGACAGCATTATCATCATCTTCGTCATTATGGTCAGGAGAACCTTCTAACATGACTTCATTATCACTTGAACTTTCATCATTCGTGCATTCCATTGATTGATGAGTCATCATTTTCTTCGATTCAAATGCATGACATCTTGGACATAACCAACAAATTCGAGTGCAAGCCACATCATATTGAGTTATCAAAAATTTCGATAGCTCTGATGACACAGCTACTACTCCTTTTGGTATACGTGCAGATTTTCCATGCTTTATTGGATGTTCACAATTTTTTCGTCTTGGCATTGGGATACAATTTTGAAAAAAAAGTACTAGTGGGTAGTCGATATTTTCTAATATTCAATGATTCATCACGTAATCTTATTCGTTTGAAGTCACGTCATTTATGGATAAGAGTCTACTTCTAAAGATGTCCTTAAAGAGAAATGAAAAATCTATCATTTCTATAGTAATGTCCCTTTCGACTCTGAGGTCTCATTTCTGTAGGACGGTATAATCACAAATCTCTCTAGTGATTTGAGCGAAGTCATCAGTTTGATTTCGTTCTGAGAGGAGAGTATCATGAAAGTTGTGTTGTTTTATAAAGAAAAGATAAAAATTCTTCAAGTTAATTGAATACAATTCAAGCTGACGAAATATGACTCTTGCTGTGTTCAGAAAAAATGCCTCAGCACTTAGGACCTTCAACAGGACGTGTCTAATATTTCTCAGAAAATATTTTTCTAGACTTCGTTTATATTTATGAACACAAGAAAACGACGAAAAAAATGCTTTTAAAGAAGTTCCACGCTTTTCCCAACACTCTTTCTATATATAAAAATATACGATAGGTGTTCCGAAAAAATGCTCGGAAACTCGGAATTTTTGATAGAAAACACATAATTTTTTTTTCATCAAAAGTGTTTTCTAAAGCATACCGGCATTTTGAAGTAAGAAAAAATCGAAAAAAAAAACCTTTCCAAAAAAGTGGCTGGATCTCCATGGATTCACCCAAATCATGATAGAAAACCAATATAAGAATAACCCGAATTGTTATCTTCTTCCTCTATTACATAATGAACACTACAGTACAACTGTTTCACACGATGGAAAAATCTATCTTGAGGATCAATAAAGGAACTCAAGAAATAAAACGTATATAGTACTACATTTTGTTACATGGTATCATCGGCCACATCTCTCGCTTATATATGTTCTTCCTTTCTCGTGTTCCCTCTATATCTTCTGTTCTCTCTTACATATGTTCACTATCGTCCAAGCATCTAGGCACACATGTTTCTCAGTGACCTTGAGCCTGGACATTTCCATTCAGTGCGCAGAGGAAAAAGTCCTGATGACGTCTCCTTTGTTGAGGAGTTGTATAAAAACTCAGTCGTCGTTTAAATAAAAGGGGGAGAAACCTGTTTTAACCAACCTAACGTGTTTCTTAACTCATATATTGCGATCTATTTTCATCGTTCATATGCTGTTACTTTCACCCGGAATGATTCAAAAATTACCCCGCAAGTGTGTGATGGTTTGGGTCAACGAACCGCATTCTCAGTCACACTCTCTAGGTCTTATCTCTAAGTAGTGTAGCTGGATAGACTAAAGTTCTCATTTGCTGGGAAAACATGATTTGTCTTGAAATTGATAGGATGATTGCAGAAAATATACGGCCTTTACGTATTCAAACGCTTGATTTTTATCTGTTAGTCCAGCTAAGTACGTAATTGTGTTTATGGTCGATCTTGACAGTTCGGTGAATTTGTGTGGTATTAAAAATTCGATAGTACATATAATTAGCAGAATTCGATGTAGAAAACATGAAAGAAAAACTACGTTGGGCCTGGCTGGACTGCTCGTTCCGGTCCGTGGCATTTATAATGGAAACTAACACTGGGGAAAATAGGAATTGTTTTTGTATATTCTTGGGGCAAATCGACTCATTTTGTACGCAATGCAGTTACCTGTTTTTCTCCGAGTCAAGTTTGTTTACATAAATGAATAAGCTATACTATTCCATAGATGCTTTGATACAATAAATATGGATGAATGTTTTTTTTCCGAAGGTTTTCTTTTCATGACGTCACGCCTTCAGCTGTCTTTTCTTTCCGTTCTATGCACCGTGTACAGAATAAACAAAGATCTACACCTAAACATCACGGTATTGGTAGGTGTAAATAAACTTACTGGATAAATAACGGATGTGTCAGAATAAATGGCGGTCATCAGTGTGAAGCTAGCACGAAGGAGCTAGCATGAATAAACGACGTGTTAGCTAAAAACGTTTTTACTAAATATGCCCCCTCCATGCAAATTAAACCATTCGACTCAGAATTTAATTCTGCATCAAATGGTGGTACTTTTATTCACGGGACAAACTTGGGAAAAAATCTATCTGGATTATAAATAGACCTAAAGGAAACGAACAAAGATATAGATAAAAAAATTTCCCAAGTTTGTCCCGTGAATCAAAGTACCACCCTTTGCTGCAAAATTAAATTCTGAGTCGAATGGTGTAGTTTGCATGGAAGAGACATGCTTAGTAAAAACGTTTTTAGCTAACACGTTGTTTGTTCGTGCTAGCTTCGCACTGATCTTGGAGGTCACAACCATACCCACCCCCACCCACATCCTTCCAGCCCCTCCCTAATCGGAGACCCTGGATCTGTCATCCAGAATTACCAAAGGCGTCACACCTTTGGAATAGGCGCCAAGCCAGATCATTACTTTTTGTGGGAACTTAAGGGTGAGGGTGTGAGATGGATGTGTTGAGGTTACTCTCAATGTGCGGGTGCGTGATGAATGCACAGAAGTAAGTGTCAAGATGAGAGTGTCGGGTGGGTGTGGAGGGGCTGGTATCAATGTGAGGGTGCGAGATGAGTGCGGAGAGGTTAAGAGTGAAGTGAGCGTGCACGACGGACCATGAGAGTTTACAACTACTGCAACCGTACAACGCGAGCGCTACACTACTTAAATATTTCAAAAAATACAACCTTTCCACTTTTGAATATGCATCTAAGTACCCAAAATCAGCTTTCAAGTCTAAACAGGTTCGCAAGATCACACTCAAACAAAACCAGCACCGATATTATATATTTCACATCAACAAACCACATGACCACGCCATCCTACACTAGACAATTAAACACAAGATCTATAATATTCCATAAGATGTCACCCTAATCCAATGTTACTACCCATTCGCCTCATTGTTTTCCAGCACCGGAATTCAATAAATGAAAAACGCGAACATAATATCTATTGTACCATTCGCAGCAACCTGAATAGTACACAAAACTGCCTTTAGATCGACTCCTTCTCGAACTACGCAGATCATGTAGGCTTATCTGTGATTTTCGGATCATTTGGATAGCTTATGCAGTCTAAAGCCATCTGATGAGTCCTCTAGCAGGGACGAAATTGCGATAATGGCGTGCTTTGACTCACCCATCATTTTTTATACTTTATCTTCATTCGTCTGTACTTGTTTGAATGTTTCTGTCAAATTCGCTCTCGTGTCTTAGTCATTTTAATCAAGATTGAGTGTGTATTATGTCGTATTTGTTTTCAATGTGTTAGTATTACTCTCATTTTCTATCCTGTGGTTTTCATCAAATTGAAGAAAATTTCTGATCGATAATTAATCGTAACGTTATTGATAGATTTCTTTGAGTTTAGAAAAAGATGACTACTTAAACAATGAGCGAAACCAGGATCGTAACATGTTTGGAGTTATCTTCAATAACTCATATCTTAATGTTGAGACAACTGTAGTTCTTCATCTTCTCATATGTTTTTGTTTTATTGTCTATATACGAAAAACAATTTCCATCTAACTTCTTATCATCTTGACTAATTCATGTTAATGAGCTTCTACATATTTTAATCACATATAGTGCTACATATTTTGTTCAAGAAGTGCTTTTCCTCTTCCATTTCATTCACTTAGATAACAGTAAGCTATTTTCACTTTCTTTTTTTTCTTGTAGATAAATTAATATTTCAGATATACAAAGTCTATATTGAAAGAAACTTATATTGGACATAAAACAATTTCAAGTATATCCCGTATAATCATAGCATTCAAATTTCGTTCTCTAACTGCTTGTTCTTTGTATTTAGAATCATTCCAAAATGGTTGATGAAATAAACGAATCTATTGATATTGTTGTTCAAGTATTTAATGACAACTGTGATGATAATGTTGATAATGGTAATAAAAATGAAGATCAAGATACATTATGTAATTACAATAATGGAGATCATCTTGAAGATATTGAAGAAGTAAACAAAATGTCTCTGGTTCGAGTACCAGAATATCGATTGAACGCACGTCCACTCTATTGTATACAAAAGAAGGATATTCGTTTGATTCGACAAAAATTCAAGGAACAAAATCGTTTACTTTTAAAAACTTACAAATCAAATGCAATGTATTCGTGTACAATCAATGAATTTGAATCGAAAATATCTACATTTTTTACACAAACGAATGCTTATGATTTGATTGAAGAACTTAATACAACGGTGAATCCAGAATATGTTGGAAAACATCTTGACGATCAAGTTGATAAAGTCAAAATGATTCTCGATAATCTATTAGAACAACAATCTATCAATTTGATGCAATATGAAGAAATGAAAATTATGCGTTCAAAAGTTCGATTAGATTATCTCTTTTTTTTACCAGATACACGTAAAGTAAGTACTTCTTCTACTGATTATTTTACATGTTAAATTCATATATCCTATTAAGAGTGAAGTACCAGTACAACCAATCATGGTATCTTGTCAAAGTCCATTTGCTAATATATCTCGATTATTAAATCGTCTTATTGAACCTATCTATGATCAAGTAGCATTACATGATACATTTTTCAAAGGTTCCGATGCCATACAAGCTCTCGAAACATATAAAAACGAGAATTATTTACGATCTACAACATTATTTGCTACTTTACATGCGAATAATATCTTGACTGTTTTGCATCATGAACAAGCAATTGAAATATTGGAACGTTTTCTTCTTGATAATGTACATTCAAAAGAAATTCAAGGCATATCTATTGAAACTATTATTCAATTAGTTCGTTTACTTCTTGATAATCAATGGTTTATTTACCAAAATAAATTATATCGACAAATTGGTGGAGGTGGATCTGGTTCACCATTTATGTTACTTCTAGTTAATATCATTCTTTATGATTGGCAAAAAGAATTTCTTATACATTTGAAACAAAACAATGAATTATTTGGCAGGTAAATCTATTTTTCCTTCTATTCTCTCACAGGCACGTCATATCTATCCCGAATATTTGCTAATTATAGATGTTTTGATGAGATGTTCTTTACATGGAATAAATCTCATGATGAACTTACGGTATTTATTCATCGAATGAATATGAAAAATTCTTTAATTCAAGTTCAATTTACAACTGGAACACAGATCGATTTTCTTGATACATATATAAGATTTTTTATTTATGATGAAAATGAAGATGATATGGAATTAGAAACACAAGTTAATCATGAATCAAAAGCTGAACCATATGCATTACCTTATATTCAAAATCTTTCATCGGATATGTACTCAAAGTTAATTCGAGCAGCATTAATTCGTGCAGCACTTTGTTGTTCAGATATTCATGAATTCAAACAAGAACAACAGTACATTGTATTATCATTTACACTCAACAATTTTCCAATTGATTTTATTATGGAACATGTCATGGTATTTTTCCTCGAATTCTATACGGCAGAGTTCGATGATGATATATATGATCAAGAATCTTATTATGAATTACGTCAAAACGTTATTAAATATGATAAAAAATGTGTCGAAAACCGAGTAAAACATCATCAACAAGCACATAATTATAATCTTCAATATGTATCTGTATCGACAAAAAAATCATCCTTCAGATCTTTAAAACAAAATAATCAACGTTATCGAAAACGTTTCAATGGCAATAGCCAATCAGGATTTTATTTAGATATTGTCGGTCAACCAAAATATCCAGAAAATACAAAATAACCACTTATAAAAGATACATCATTTTTCGTTTTTACTTTTTTTATTCTGTTGTTGTCATTATTTCCTTGCCATATTTTACTAATAAACACCCTCATTTTCTTGTTATACTCTAGTAGTTGTTCTCCTTGTTGTACTTGTAGTTACCAGACTAATCCCTTTTTCGTGTTTCTTCCCTTTCAGATAAAAATCAATGAATATACACAATACCGATATCACAACAGTATTACAACAAGATGCTACAGAAGAAATGGTGGACTTGAATCAACAGCAATTAACAGTAAAAAACAAAAGAAAACGACATGGTAATCAAAAATTACATCATTTCAAACGAAAATATCGTTCACGAGGAATGACTGAAGAGCAAATTACAGAGTTAATTAATATGCGTAACGATAATAACAATCAAATAAACAACAACAACAACACAATGGCATCAAATAATAATGATAAGGTCGCAAAGAACAAGGCGAAACAACGGTCTAATAAACGCAAACGATCTGAACGAAACAACAAAGAATATGATAAAATGGCAAAGAGATCAATGAGTCAACTTTCTATTTCTCAACAACAGCCATCATCAAAAAGACTAAAGACAAATAATAATGAAAATAATATAACAACATCTACTGATCATAAACCTACGTAAGTTGAAATGAAATTTTCAAAGTTTGCCTATTTTCTAATAATCGATTCTATGCAGAGTATCATCAAAATATCTACAGATGCCAAAGAAATTACTTTTACATTCTTTACGTCTTCAATTAAATCATCGAATAAGAAAGAAAAAAGAAAAATCATTTATTTTATCAAGACTTCAATTACTCGATCGACAATTCTGCATAGATACGGATCAGTATCTGTATCAGTCATATTTTGTTGATGGATCACAGCATAAGATATGGCCAGTAAGTTGCAATATCATAAGACAAACATTTCTTTTTTAAACATTCTCTATTGAAAGGATGATATTATTGATATGGCACAAATCGACAACTATGAGCACGTAGAGAAGTTTATCAAAGGATATTTGATTCAGTTACAAGAAAAATTTGATCAATGCACAACACAGTTAATCAATCAAGCATTATCATGTCCAAAATCGATAGACTTACTGCTAATTGAAAATCAATTAAAAGAATTTGTTCGTCTACATCATCTTGATTTAACAAGGAAAACTTATTTTCAAGTGAATAAATTCAAAGATCATATTTATGAAAAAGAACTCTTTCAACAACTATCATCATATCCTTTAACAACTGGACAAGTAAGAATTAATTATTATTTCTTTCTATAAATTTCTTCTATTTATGGAAAAAAACAAACTTCTATTTCTTTAGCAACAAATTATTCAACGTTTATGTCATCTTCGTCAACAACAACAAAAACGATAATTCACTTTATGAAGCAGTTAAGAAACATCAAAAATCGATACGGGACTATAAGCGTCAAATTCTTGCTAAGTGCTTAGAAGAATATGAATCGACTATTGAAAAATATGAATTTTTATATCAAGAAGAATTAATTAATTTTGAATCTCAGTTATTTGACACGGAACAAAATGATCTAACCATCAATAATAATTTAATGAAGTGTCTTTACAATTACTTACATTGTCAAACGATGAAGAAAATACGTGAAATACGATTTAATGAAACTATTTTTCGTTATAAATTATTACATCCTCGTCACCGACGATCATCGTCCTCGACAACGAGTAATAATACAACTAATATCTATCCAGAAGCTATTATTGAAATATTCGAAAAAGTGTTTACAACGAAAGAATTAGATCTACTCTCATCATTAGGTAACAACTATGAACAATGATTTTCTGTTGTATATAGTATATAATCTTTTTGTTTTGTCATCTCTATTAAATTAAGGAGGACCAAGCTACATTCGACTTAACCAAACTTCTGTTCAAAACAGGAAAAAAATTCAAAAACAGATTCAGCATCAACATAGTACAATTGTAGATAAACTTGCCTCTGATTTGTATCGTCGCCATGGTTTACCAACGAAAGCATCCATTCTGAAAAAATTTAGTGATCAACTTGAAACAATTTTCAATCAACAATTTACCATGCCACCATCCGTATCCTATCGTGACATGTATCGTACACGACAAGAATTGAAAATAATTTTATCAATTAAACGTAAGCTAAAAAAGTTACCAGTCATTATTCGTGAGTCAGATAAAAGTGGCATTATTCATATTGGTTATAAGAGTGATTATGATGATGAAGTCTTATTATATCAAGAGAAAACAAAAGCATATAAAGAACTATCTTCAAATCCATTGATGGACACGTTCTATAGAGTGATTCGTTCATTAAATGACCTTTGTACAAAACAACAAATTAAAGTGTGGCAACATAAAAAGATGATACCTAATCAAAAAACAATACAAATGGCTTATCTCTATTTTGTACCAAAACCACATAAAGTAAGTATTTCTTAAATTATTTTCTATTCTTTATTCACATTACTACATGTATATTTATATATCTAGCAAGGTACACCATTACGACCTATCGTGTCATCTATGCATACGCCAACAACGGGTATATCGAAAATGTTAGATCAATTAATTCGACCTCTCTTTGATCAACACGTCGAAAAAACAACAATTATTGATGGTGTTCATCTGATTCGTCGTCTTGAATTATATGTTAGTTTAGGTTTATTAAAACCAACTACTCACTTATGTACATGTGATATTACTGATCTTTATACAATGTTACCACAAGAAGAATCAATTGCTATTTTAAAACACTTTCTACAGCATTTTAAATATACACATGTTCAAGGTATGACCATTGACGCGATCGAAACTTTAGCACGTATTGTTCTAATGGAAAATGTTTTCTACTATGAACAAAAATACTATCGTCAAATAAAAGGTGGGGCTATGGGATCACCATTTACTTTAACCCTAGCAAACATATTTATGTGGCATTGGGAACAAAAATTAGTGCAAGAACAAAGAACGTCTAATGAACTATATGGTCGGTAAGTTATTTTGCTAGAAAGAATAGATTGATTCACTAGCTAATTTGACTTTCCTTTCTTCTGCTAGATATATTGATGATATCATCTTTACATCTAATGATTCAGCTGATAAAGTAAAGCAAAAGTTACAAGATGCCAATAATTACCACCCAAATATTAAACTGACTTCTACAACTGATAAAACTGTTTCATTTTTGGACGTTCAAATACAGAATAATGTTGATAATTTGATTACTTCAGTCTACCATAAAGAAGCTACTGAACCATATGTAGTACCCTTTCAATCTGATCATCCACGACATGTCTTTGTTAATATCGTTGAATGTGCACTTCTTCGTGCTGTACGTTACTCGTCAACACTCGACCAATTCAATACAGAACGACGTGCAATTATGCTTATGTTACTCTATAATGGGTTCGTAGATAAATGCATCATACTTTTCTTTTACTAATGAAAATTCTTTTTGTTAATATCTTCTAGCTATCCGACACGATATATTCACGGTCGATTCGAGAAATTTTTCCTTAAACATTCTGTTACTTCGACATCGATTACACCAATGATTCATGATGAAAACGAATTTTTATTATTGCACCACCATTTGTTGAATCAAACTACTCTTAATCAACATAGACGAGCAAACCGTATTGCCCAAACCATGGATTACAATAATTTTCCTCCAGATATTGACCCACTCGTCAAAGAAAAACTGTTAAAGCGTCGAGACAGAGCCAACTCCATCATTATCCGTTATCTCCATGAAAAACGTGTTGCTCATTATAAAAAAACAATTCATCAACTATGGCATGACACATTTTACAATACTCCCATTCAAACAACGAGATTTCTAGTTGCCACTAGAAATAATCCCAACATCACCAAGGAACTTATTCGCCGAAATCCATTTACCAAAAACCGACACGACAGACACCAACAAACATCAACTAACTAACATAATTTTTCATCTGCCTAAGAAAAAACCAAACCCCAATTCAGATACTCCCTATCTACTATTTTATCATTCGTAAAATAAAAAATAAATAATAAACTAGCTTTCTTTTGCTTCAAATAAAATCCAAATGCTTTACCCGATATGTGTATCCAGAGACACCGACATATTGTACTATACTTTTAGATGATCCATCAATCAGAATCAGCCGCATATAGTCTACGACGGAAACAAAACAAATTCCACACTAGTCATCAACCTAACAACAATAGAAACCATATAATACAAACCGTTGTCACCATTCAAGTCTCACTACGCAAACAAAATATGGAGCATCTATCGCAGAGTACAACCATCTGATGAGACCCTTTAGCAAGGTCGAAATCTGGATCATGGTATGCTTGACTCACCACTGTTAAAGTGATATCTATTGTCTTTAGATCTATGTTCTTTGAACTTTTTCTAAATTCTGATAGATCAGTATAGTTTGTTTATGATTCTTCGGAATTATTCGAACAACTATCGCAGAGTACAACCATCTGATGAGACCCTTTAGCAAGGTCGAAATCTGGATCATGGTATGCTTGACTCACCCTCACCCTCACCCTCACCCTTTTGTATTTGAATTTTAACAGAATGATTTGATTTTGTTATGATTTGGCTTGAAATGAACTTTTCAGCTTTGAAAATGTTTATTTTGAGTTAAATTATACGAAATCATAAGCCATCTGATGAGTCTTCTTGAGTAAAAGACGAAACGCGTCATGGCAGCTCATCACACCCACACCCTCACCCTCACAGTTAGTTCAGATAATTTGTTTTCAAAATTCTTTTCTATATTTTTATCTATGATTCATAAAACTAGTTGTAAACACGATACACAATGACAGGGATTACCTTCCTCAAATAGTTTAAACTCATTCTGCAACTGAATCTCCATTATGTAACCCTTACTACAGATGATCAAAAGAGTCTTAAGTGAAACTTTCTGTACGAAATCTTTATTTCAATTATTTCCAAAAAGTTTAGTACGAAACCTAAAAAGGTTCTTCCCGTGTATCGGAGTGAAGAACCTTTTAAGGTTTGGTAGAGTACTTTTATTTAGAGTGTACTCTTAAATGACACCCACACCCTTAGAAAATGTATGTCGTTCACAACATAAATGTAGGTTGTCGCCATTGCGGTTCATAGTCTTCTAAATTTGTCAAATAATCTTCGTCTAAATTATAGGGAAATACCATATTGATGATTCCCATTGTTTCAGTACAAAGTTCATGCAGAAGTTCAAGCAGAAAGCACTCAAGTTTTCGGTGCTCTTTTGACAAAGCTATAGTATGTGAGCGGCATGCTTTGATGCCTGTGATTAGAGCTTCGTGTACCTCGATAACAGAAACTTGATCTACTTTTCCTAAACGGACGAGTAATTTAGCAGCACAATAACGTTTTGTCAAAGATGATGATGTCATTGTTTTAAGAAGATCTGTAACAATTGATCGTGCCTGCACGCATGTTATCTTACTAATTACACCATATATATCGTTCAACTGAACCTCTTGCAGTGCCACCGACATTAACATGCACACAAATTCTTCTGAGACTTCATTAAAGTGACTATATATCTTCAAGCATTCTAGTTGTATGAAAGGGTTACTTCTCTTGCTGAAATTATAAAGAGCATTTTTGAATCGCTCTTCGCCGAATAAGCTGTGCCGAACTGTATGACAAATAACGTCTGCATCGTGGCTAATGATCATATCCATCACAACAACATATACGGCACCTTCAATTATTGATTCTTTAACAAGAATCATACTATCAAACATGTCTTGTAAAAAAATTGGAATCAGATGTCCCCTGTGATTTATTATCCATTGATATGCTCTAAGTGTACTATCGTAATCGTACACTGAGAAATAGTCTGAAATATGCGTCAAGAAAGTAACATAGACCTCATCAATAGTGTATTCTGTTGGTTGATCTATGACTTGATAAAGTAAACCCAGCACAGTTGCTTGACTAACACATAAAGATAGTGTCTTGTTTTGCAGATCTCTGAGACGATTCAATTCCGTTTCTTCTATCGGCTTATTGTATTTATAATACAGAGAATGTATGCAAGCAACGACAATTTCTTCATAGCTGATACTCATGTTATTATTATTATCAATGATTTGCCATAGCAGGCTTCTTACATGATCATCATTTTGCCAATAACGAAGACATTTAATAATTGCCAATAATGCAGTATTTCCAGTTCCATCATGACATACAATATCACGGAAGCAATTAAAAATTTCTTTTGTATCAACACACAACCTAGGCGGTATATATTTTAGGAGCCAAGCTAAGAACAGTCCGTCATTGTCGTCAACCGATTGACTTAAAACCCACAAGACATCAATTAGATAGTTAGTAGCGTTTGTAGACAGCTCAAAAATTAAGCCTATAAACGAAAAATAGTGCGAGGATGTATTGTGATCTAAAGATTCACTGAAAGTATCAAGTTCTTTTTCAAGAATTATTTCAATGTCTGAAATTTCGTCAATAAAAAGTAGACCAAAATCTTTATATCTCATGAACGGAGGAGCAGCGTTCCAAATATTTCGATTCCACTCGGATAACCACTTAGTAATCACTAAAGCTGCTCCTTCAATAGCACCCCATTCTGTTTTTTTAATACAAGCAAATGCTCTCTCTCTAATTTCATCATCTTCACTTGTTAGAAATTCACAACACATGTCCAATACTTCTAATGTCCATTGATGTGATCGAATAAGCAAAAACATGGCTTCAACAGCTACTGGTTGTCGAATTTGATCGTCTCGAAAAACTAGCCATTTAATCAAAAACAGTGAAACATCATCATCTGCGATTTTATTGTACGTTTTCAGTGTTTGCTGAATAAACAAAATGTGTTCAGTGTTTTCGATGAACTTGAATTCAAGGAAATGAGAGATTTCCAAAGCAGTATCACTGCTTAAGGTTTGTTGTGATGTTTCTTCCGATTCAAGAACAATATTACATTGTTCGTATGGATAAGAAATAGAACTACCATTATGAACAACTTTTACGTTATTTTCTCTTTTAATTAACAAATGTTTTAACAATGTCAGTTCGAGATGCAACTCCTTGAGATACATACAAGCTATAAGTGTTGAGCCCATGTTTTGTGATCCGTTACATATTAAGTTATTTTTAAAATAAGTTGTAAATGTTGACGAACATAGATTAAAAACTCGACTTAATGCGGTATTTTCTTTGGACCATTGTAATAGTAAAACACGTCGTTCAACATCCCTTCGAATTGAAGGAAAATATATAAAGGCCTGGCATATTGCCTGTTGATCAACGCTTGGTAATTCTAGTAATTTCTGCCAGATGCTTTCGAATATGTTTGAACTCATACGTGCAATACTGCCTGCAAAAGACAGGTAACGAATAAAAACTGCAACGTAACAGTGAAATGCAGTAATTGTCAATAGGTGTTCTAGCACTTCCGTCAACATATTCAGCCGAGCTTCAAGAGCATCGTTTGACCATTGTGAATATGAGATACGACAAATAGTTATGAGAGCATCAATTTTCCACAGTGAATCAGTAGTTTCTTCGGCTGCTCTCCATGCATTATCTATAAGATACACTCTGTCCATCTTCTCCATGCTATCCGAATCACTCATTGCTAGGCGAGCAAGACATATCGATGCCGAATATAATTGTTCGTCGACGCGATCGATATTCGATTCGTATAAAGCAGTTATAAGACGGTCCTGTTCTGCTGCAATAGCACGTTCTATTGCTTCATCTAATTCACCAGATAAAGTACTCAATGATAAAATCTCATTTGCATATGATCTAAAGAATTCATTACTGTGAAGACGACTGAAATAGCTTTCTTTTTCATTTGGTTCAGTCTGATCAATATGTGAACGCTTAGACAAAATAAAGTGTTTTAATCCATATTTTTCGAAAAGTGGTAAAAGAAGCGTTAATATAATATTGTAACGAATGCATTTGTCATTCCATAGTTCACTAGTTTCCAAAAATATGACGACCAAATGCATGAAGACCAGAGGTGATTGATTCTTAAAAGAAAGATCTTCTCTTTCTATCAGACGTATATAAAATGTTCGAAGATGTTTGGGAATATATGCTAATAGCAAGAGAACTACGTTGCGATCTGCTATAAGTTGCAATGGATGTTTTCGGTGCATAAGGAGCTCTAAATCGTTCCTCTCCAGTATTTCAATTTCATGTTCTTCCATAGATGTTCCTTTGGGAACTACATAGCATAAAGTCGATAAATTTTCAATGATCATTAACTCATCCATCTGCAAGAGGATATCTGATTGGATGAAGTATAGTTGATTGGCAGAAAGCCAAAGACACATTTCAGAGCAGAAAGATGTACGCCATATCGCATCCCATGTATTTCTGCTGTGTGGATAAATTGTGATCATTTGAGAATATAAACGAATAACGAAACTTGAAAAACGTAACATAGTCGTATTTGTCAGCGATCGAGACACAAGTTGCATAATACTTTTTATGTGATCATTAAAACCTTTCTGCGTAATGTTAGAAAAGAAACCTTTTATGTAAGTAAGAATAAGATCCATGTGTTGAATTGCATATTCAAATGCTGTATAGTCCACGTACGACTGAAATTCGTGTGGGTGATTCGGTCCAATGATGCAAAATAAAACCACAAAACTGTGGATAACACTGACAGATACATCAGTCTTTTCTGCTGATTGGATAAGTGCATGACATTGATCAGTAAGAAAATTCAGCTTTACTTCATCATTACGATCTGGATCAATTAAGTATTCAATTAAAAGCGGAGTCAATGGAGAATCTTTGAATATATGTTTTGGCGAAAAACAAATCATTTCTGTCCACTCTTTAGAGAGTCGATGATTTATATTCGCGTTATTGCTATTCTGATTTATATTATTTTCAACTCTTTCAAGCCCACCGTATAAAGAAATGATGATTGCAAAAATCGATATAGGCAACTGCTTGATCATATTGATTGATGATAAAAGAAACCCTTTAAAACTTCCAACATGGGTTGCTAATAAAGATGGATTGAATATACTAATGATTGTTAGAGCTTCGTGAATAGTTTTATCAAAACAATTGTTTGGTTGTGCCAATTGTACTGAGAGTGTATCGCAAAACGTCGTCGTTATCCAACTAGGTAACATTTTCCCTTTGCAAACGTAATTCTGTAACAAAGAAAGAACTCTTTGTTGAGAAGAGCCCCCTTTTGTTAAAATTATTTTAAGCCATTTCTGTGTTAGCTTCATTGGTAGCTGCTCAAGAGCCCTCGTTAGAGAGTACTGAAATAGACATCTTTTGTCATCAAATCCGCTGACATTCAGCAAGTTATATAATGCTTGATACACTATCCATGTTGATGGAAGACGAATGATGTTGTTTAAGGCACGAACGAAAAATAACGGCCCATGAGGTATGTACTTATTAATGTGCGTAGTTCCAGAAGTCAAATGAAAACACCATTGATCATATAGTCTTATATTCATTTCGGCACTAATTTTGCCCATCGCGAGTAACCGACTTTTGTCCATACGGGAGTTCAAAGTCAATAGAAATCGTCCAATATTTACGTATTTGTCGAAACCATTTTCCAAAAGAGTTAACGCAACGAAATATTCTTGAAAAAGTGGGTAACGAAATCCATATACATTCAAAGATCGTGAATAAAACATTCCAACATCATTTCCATTTAATGCTTGAACTAGCTGATCTGTCAAGATTTGAATGTCTCGTCTAGTCCAATATGGTGCATTCTTCCTTTCATCATGATAACATTGAAGAAAATAACAAAATAATCGTTTAAGATCGAATTCATCAATTAAGGTTGATTTTGAATGTGAAGTAATAAAGAAAGCCAACTCCGAGAAAATTCTGACAACTGTATTCTGTGGAACTTGTGGAATACACTTCATATATGCTTGAAGAGCTTGTTCGACAACATCTCGATAAAAAACGATTGGTTTGCTGCACACATACTCGAGTCCATATCGTGCATACAAAGTACACATTGCTGAGAGACAAAAGAAATCGGATGTCATTTCACGTGAAACTTCGTCTGCTTCTATTTTGGCACATAGTTTTTCAGGTTTGAGCCAGTTCTCAGTAATTGGAATTTGATTCTTTAGTCCTGGTACAAGATTCTGAAATGCACTAATTACTTGTTGGCACACTTGAAAACACCATGTTTGAACAAATGAACATAAGCTATCTTTGCTAATATATTGTTTCCCATGATTGACGTGCGTGATGTGCAATCCTCTTAGTGGTTGAGTATCATAACCAGCTTCTCTGCCAGTGCAGATCACAACATTATCATTGACACGGTTCTTTCTATGCCAAAAGGCTCTCCAAAGTCCGCATTGAGCCATCGATGGCTCATCTGTTGGTAATATATAGTCAGCAGTGCGCGTGTATGAATGCATAAACTTGCTTAAAAATTCATTCAATTCACCCCGAGATTCAGGACTTGTTGCTTCGTCTATTTCATCGAATATAATTAATGAATGTCCATTCAGCACAAACGTTTTTAACATGTCCTGTTCTTCCGAATTTGAGCAATAAATATCTCCAACCCACGTATGTTGTCCAAAATAATCAAAAAGTTCCATACTTGGGTTTCGCTTGTGCCATTCAATAAATTCATTGATACGAATCAGAATCGGAACACGTGGGTATCCTAGATCAATGCCATGGATAAATACTTTCTTCTTTTCTTCAATAATAGCTTCTGCAAATTGTAGAGTTAGCCAACGGACATATGTCGTTTTTCCACTACATGAGTTTCCCAATAAAACGAGCCACCAGTCTTTTTGCACCTCCTCCAATAAATCGAAAGTGGGAATCAAGCCATCCATCTCGATCGGCNTACTTCCCTATCTACTATTTTATCATTTGTAAAGCAAAAAAATAAACAATAAACTAGCTTCCTTTTGTTTCAAATAAAATCCAAATGCTTTAGCCGATATGTGTATCCACAGACACCGACATATTGTACTGTACTTGTAGATCATCAATCAACAAATATCAGCCGGATATAGTCTACCATGGAAAGAAAACAAATTCCATACTAGTCATTAACCTAACAACAATAGAAACGATATAATACATAAAGTTGTCAGCATTCAAGTATCACTACCAAAACAAAATACGCAGCAACTATCGCAGAGTACAACCATCTGATGAGACCCTTTAGCAAGGTCGAAATCTGGATCATGGTATGCTTGACTTACCCACACCCTCACCCACCCTCAAAATGTATCTTATCTTCATTTTTGTCCTGATACCTACAAGATATCCCGCCAGATGTCTTGACATGTAGTCATTAACTGACTGAAGTGATATTTCAAACAGTTCAATTGGTAGAACAGCCGACCGGTTATCGAAAGATGTGGGTTCGAGTCCTGCTTTGATTTAGTGATCTTCTCGAATAAGTCTTTCGTACTTATTTGAACATGTCTCTGTGGATACATCTACTGAAATGTCTTGTATGTTTTCGTGGACACATGAAATGATTATTTTCATTGGATTCCTTTATATCGTCATTTTAAAAACACCCACCCTCACCGTCTTCGATAAAATATTTGATTTAATATCTAATGATGTTATTTCGACTTATAAACAAAATTTATTGGAAAATAAACGATTTATATTGAAAAGTTCTCTTCAAAATTCTGAGAACCTAACGCGTATAATAGATGAATTTGTTGAATTGTTCGAAAAATTGCATCTATAAATGAAATTCTTGATGAAAAACTATTCAATTAGATTCTGGTGAATTCTTACAAACCGATATGATTATTTGTGCTACAGGTTGTATTAAAAAATTTCCTTTTTTTATCGCAAACATTGACGCACAACAAATCAACAACATCAAATAAAGGAGTTGATCTCAATCTTTATTGTCGAATTATTCCTGTTGTTATTCCTAATATTACATTTATTGGTTTAACAGATATTGACTTGTCATTTCATCAAAATTCAATCAATGACGAAAGTGCAAAATATGTTAGAAAACAAAAAGGTTTTCTGTCTCTTGATAGTAATGATAATCTAATTTCTATATTTTCTATAAACATTAACTATACTTAATATGTGATTGAATGAAATTAGTCGAAAAGATGTTTTGAATTTAAGAAATAAATTGATTAAAAAAATAAAGTGAAATAATTCGATTTATTTCTCTTTTGTTAAAATGGAGTTTTAAATAGAGTCCTGCATCGGGATTTTTTCGGGATTCTTCGGAACTGAATATTTTTTGAAAAAATGTTTAAGCTTGCTTCGTGGGTTATTTCAAAGGTGTGCAATAAATAGAGGAGACGATTCTGTATCGGATCATCGTTTTTTTGAATCTCACTCAAACTCTGTCGTAGAAGGAATATCATCGGGATTAGAAAAACCCGTTAAAACCCGAAAAATCGGGATTTTTTCATCCCGCTGACTTTTCTCACGGGATGGATCCAGGATGTGACAAGAAAAACACAATGATCCGCTACAGAATTTTTTACTCTATTCATTGCACCTATTTAAAACAACATAAGTTGAAGATTGACGTCTCTTTCTTTAAAATACTAAACCGCGAAAAAATCCCGATGCAGGACTCTACTCGAAATTCTAATGTAGATCGTAGAATATGTGCATTCGTTTGCACAAAAACTAAATAGAATGTAAATAACGAATCGTATTCATGCGAAACAGCAAAACGTAAAGGCGCATTAATATGTATTTTGTATAAAAGAAGGCCTATCACACGGCTCAAGTTCGGCGCAGGACGAAGAATGGATATAGCAATAATGCAACCTGTAAACAAGCGAACAGAGTTAAATAAAAAGGATTTCAAGTCGTTATCTCCCATCGGAAATAATTCAATACAAAATAGTTCACGAGATGGTAACAATCTTACAGTCCTGACAACCAATGAATCACTTCTGAACATTCCATCTCAATTGCTGTCTATTGATGAAACTATACGTCAATTCAAGCCTACGGTGCCTGTGTTTTGTATTCGACCAAAAACAATTCAAGCCACTGTGCATTATTTTTTATCGAAATTTCCAGGCGAGGTACTCTATGCAGTGAAATGCAATGCAGAGCCAAACATCTTGAAACTTTTATGGAGTGCTGGACTTCGTCATTTTGATTGTGCATCAATAAGTGAAATTAAATTAGTTCGTACTCTTTTTCCGTTTGCAAATATTCATTTTATGCACCCAGTGAAACCTAAAAGTGTGATATTCCAAGCGTATTTTAATTATAACGTACGTGATTATGCACTCGATAGTATAGAAGAATTGTATAAAATCACTGAAGTGACTAAAGACAGAGACGATCTTGGCCTCATTGTGCGAATTCAAGTAGCAGAAAATATGGCATTGCATGATTTATCGCGCAAGTTTGGCGCCAATGTGACTGACGCTGTCACGATATTACGTGAAGCACGATCGATTGCTAAACGACTAGGTNCGTGTGACCAACACATTCCAAGAAGTTCATCTCGAAAAATTACCGCAACAGTGGATTTGTGATAATCAAGACAAAAGAAATTCATTGATTTAGTTGAAGTCAAGTTTCGTTTTGTTTTTTTTCTCTTCTCCTTAATAAAAAGAAGAAATGATTTCATACTACGAATTATCTTTCATTTCAAATGATTTTCATTATATTAGTTATTAATTTTGTTGATTCTTATTCGTTTCGAAAAATCATCCCAAGAATCGACTATTTCATTGAGATAATCCAGACGAAAGATTTGTTGATTTACTTGTGAAATCAACATATTTCCATTTCACTTTTGCTGTCATTAAGAAAAGAGAATGTTTGATGCAACTAATTTTATTTAATTCGATCAGATAAAACTTTAAAAAAGGTTAAAAAAAAACCGTTGCCGTCATATCTTACAAACCATAATAATTTTCTAAAAGGAACAAGTTTCATACAAGTATAGTAATCTTATGAAATCAAACCGCAGATGAGAACAACTCTGTCACTTTTCTCTCTTGTCCATTCGTTATCTCTCATTCTTCTATCTCTCAGTTACACTTACAAATGAAATGAAGTTCAATAAAGCATAAACTTACTTAAAAAGATTGCGATTAAGCCTAAAAATAAAAATGAAGTATTTACATAAGAATATATGACAAGCGAAAACTTTAAAGTGTTGACTCGAGTTGAATGTTGATACTCAAATACGGATTTTACTAATCCAATCTCAGTTGGCAATTGCTCTATAGTTGCCATCAGAACATCTGATGTAGTAAATCCACACATGTTCGGCCTTCAACTTGAGCCAACGCTTCATGATCTTTTCTTTGATATTGGAATAATTTACTGACTTACCAAAAACAACAGCGATGACGAGAAGATTACCAAGGAATAATGCTGATGAGGGCTAGAGTCCTGCATCGGGATTTTTTCGGGATTCTTCGGGACTGAATATTTTTTGAAAAAATGTTTAAGCTTGCTTTTTGGGTTATTTTAAAGGTGTGCAATAAATAGAGGAGACGAGTCTGTATCGGATCATCGTATTTTTGAATCTCACTCAAACTCTATCGTAGAAGGAATATCATCGGGATTAGAAAAACCCGAAAAATCGGGATTTTTTCATCCCGCTGTCTTTTCTCACGGGATGGATCCGGGGTGTGACAAGAAATACACAATGATCCGATACAGAATTTTTTACTCTATTCATTGCACCTATTTAAAACAACATAAGTTGAAGATTGACGTTTTTTTCTTTAAAATACTAAATCCCGAAAAAATCCCGATGCAGGACTCTAGTTTTAAACTTTATATTTGTAATAATAATAGTGGAGAAGAAGATATGAAATATTTTACAAATGTTTTACTAAATAATCAAATATTATAATTTTTTATTAGGAAAATGAAATTGGATGAGTTTATGTTGAATTTAATTAATTTTTATATCGATAAAAGTAAAAACTATCTGGCTAATCTTCATTTAAATAATAAAGTAAGTTTTATTTCATTTTCTTATTGCATTTTTCTCTTTGAATTAGTTTTAAACATTAATAAACAGTGATATATAATTCTTTAATTCTACATGTTTGGAACATATTTATTATATATTGAGAAAGTGATTATTTTCTCATATTCACTATCACTCTCAAGATGAAAAGTCCAGTCATAACGTTGGAAATTTATGATTATAAGGCTATGAATCATATTGTGTCAAATATTTTTTCCAACTTTGATGTTTTTAACAACATGTGCACGAGAATAAAAACGAAAAGAGAGACCTTCACTATTTTTTTCGTTGATTTATTCAAACAATAATAACAACCTGAATATTTTTCCTTACTTTTTCGTTCGTTACAGACGAAAATGAATGTTAACGGCGCTTTTCGTTTCAAAATGAGTGAAATTATACACAAAGAACAGTTAAAATCATGATGATTTTATTATAAACAGCAACCCGTCACATTAATGGACAAGAAGCAAACGACTCCTGAAACTAAAAATGAAGAAAATGCTGTAAACTGGAAAAGATCACATCAATATCAACGCTTTGATATTCAACATCTGCAAACTGTTACTGTAGTCTGATTGGATAAATCTTTTGATCAAAATAATGAAGATTGTCAAACAATCGTTGCACAATTCTACAATTATACTAACAAAATCAATACATTCACAAATAATGATCAATGTATTGAATTTATTCTTGATATTGATCATATAAATGTATGTATGATTATTTCTGGATCAATTGGACAAAATCTTCTACCATGCATACGTGATGTCCATCAACTTGATTCAATTTATATTTATTGTAGTAATAAAGAATATCATGAACAGTCGGCACGAAAATGGTCAAAGATCAAAGGTGTTTTTACCGATATTACATCAATCTGCGACGCTCTTCGACAAAGAACGCATCAATGTCAACAAAATGATATATCGATGAGTTTTATCGCAACGAAACAAAGAGTAGATCAATTGGATCCATCTTTTATGTATACACAAATCATCAAAGAAATCATGTTGACCATTCATTTTGAAGACAAACATATCAAAGAGTTTATTGAACATTGTCCTAATGCATTTGGCACTGATAAGAAAGAGTCATATGATGCAGAACAATTGTCACATCAATACCATGAAAAGACACCTATATGATGGTATACAAATCCACAGGTTGCCTTGTATTCCATGCTTAATAGTGCTTTGTGATTACTAGACGGAGATCTGATTGTATGAATGGGATTTTTCATTAATGATCTACATCAACACATCGATCAACTACACAAACAACAATTTGGTACAAATCATGGTGAAGAAATCTTTACATGTTATCGTGGTCAAGGCATATCAGAAAAAGATTTTGATGAAATGATAAGATCGAAAGGTGGATTAATGTCATTTAATCACTTTTTATCCACAAGTAAGGAACGTGATGTCTCTTTGTTCTTCGCCGAAAGTAATCTAAGTAATCCAACTTTAATTGCCATTCTTTTTGTTATAAAAACGGATCCGAGACAATCGGCAGTATCGTTTGCGTCAATTCGTGGTATAAGTGCTACTCCAGAAGAAGATGAAATATTGTTTTCAATGCATAGTGTATTTCGTATTGATGATATCAAATTAATAAGTGAAAACGGAAAACTTCACGAAGTGCATTTAACATTAACTAGTGTCAAGGATAAACAACTGCATGAACTTACTGAACAAATCCGACAAGAAAGTTTTCCATATGCTTATGGGTGGTATAGATTAGGTTTAGTATTAGTTCAACTCAATCAAAATGAGAAAGCTGCAGAGATTTGTCAAATGCTGCTCAATCAAATAAAGGAGCAAAGTGACAACCACGGATCTATAGTCAAATTCGTCGGATCAAGTACAATCGGGGAGAATATGAAGAGGCAATTGAATAGTTTAAAAAGCACTTGCAATTGACCAGTAATCACTTCCTCCAAATCATACTGATTTGACTGTATTTCAAATAACGTCGGTTGCGTGTATGACGACATGGGCGACTATTCAAACGCACTTTCATAATATGAAAAAGCCCTGATAATTCGACAACAATCACTTCCCGCAAATCATCCTAATATGGTTTCATCTTACAACAACATCGGTTTGGTGTATTACAACATGGGTGACTATCCAAAAGCACTTTCATATTATGAAAAAGCTCTGGCAATCAAACAACAATCATTTCATCTTGATCACTCTTCGTTGGCTGCATCTTACAACAACATCGGTGTGGTTTATGAAGGCATGAAAAACTATTTAGAAGCTTATTCTTATTATGAATGTGCTGTAGAAATTGCAGAGCAATCATTATCTTCGAATCATCCAAATCTGAAGAATATGATATACAATCTCGAACGTTTAAAAGCGCAACCGTAAGCGGTTTCTTTATTTTTGTATCAGAGAAAACTATGCAGTATATTGCTCATTTCTAAAGTACACCACATAGTTTCATTGCTCGCCACTACGAGGTAAAAAGGGAGAATCTTCACATAGAATATATGTTGTAAAAACGTTCGTTACCTGTCTCTAGTTTTTGTACACCTGCGAAACAGAAACTATTTCTCTGTGTTGAATAAAACTTTATTACTAGCAACATGGTCAGTTAGTGGAAAATATTATAAACTAATGTTTTTCTGCGTTTCAATGCAAAGATTTATTGTAAGGAGCATCTATTTGGACGGTAAGTAAAATTTATACATACTTGGGAAGTAAACTGAATCTTCGGTAGATCTATTAATCCTCAAGCACTACCCTCATTTGACGACTTCAGCAGTGTGTTGGGTCCACGGAGATCCATTTATTAAAAAATAAGAAAATCATACTTTTTACTGTATGTAGAGTTGTATTATGTCTCCATTGATCATAGTCAAATAAACTTTGTATCATGTCGAAAGATACACCAGATTATGTCATTTCTATTTATCATTCATAATAAACCCTAGTCCGCCCATGTTCTTTTAGGATTTTTTTGCAACTAGCCCTACAATTTAAGTTATGATATCTTACATCTGATTTCACACAGAGCGTATTAAAACAATGACCTTTGTAACTCTAGCGAAAAATCAAAACTAAATGTCATACTCTGTTACTTATAAGTAACCCGGCGATAAGAAAATTGAATATCTCCATTATTTATCGACCGATCTAAGTGAAGTTTTCCCCAGTGATAGAGGCTCACTCAGTGGCGTAGCCAGGAGGGGGTGCCCTAGGGGCACGGGCACCCCCCATGAAGTTTTGTGCTGGTTATGTTTTTGGCAAATACGCATATAGAACTTTAAAATGATGTACTTATATTAATTTATTCTTCTTTTAGATGAGTAAACAACTCAGTTTATCACATTTTTTTTTCTTTAAATAAAAGGACGAGATCAAACTCACCTGTTGGTACACAAGAAGAATCGAATCAATTATCAACAGATTCTACTCCGATTCTTACTCAACCATCTACTCCAGTATCTTTAGAAGCTGATAATTTATCTGTTACAAAAAAAGTTAAACAAAGAGATTATGAAAATTCAGTTAATAAAGAAGTTCAACCATGTAATAATAAAGATATTGGCTTGTTCGTTAATAAGGAACATATATCGGATCCAGAAATATATGCTGTGTTGACAAACCCATGGGTGCCATCGAGCAATTACAAATTTCCTTTAGTTCAGATGCATCAAAAGATGCGATCAGTTTGTCAACATTCATGGTTACAAACATATCCATGGCTCGGTTACTCTCCTATCCTTCAAGATGTTTTATGTTGCTATTGCGTTTTATTCAAACGACAATGTTCAGTAGCTGATCGAGCAAGAAATTCACTTGGACAGTTAGTTTTTAAGCCATTGTCTTCATTGAATAAAGCCAGTGAATATCTACAATTGCATGAAAAAACCGAATATCATATATTTTCCAAACAACAAGCAGAAAATTTCAAACTAAACTTCGAACATCCAAACAAAGCCATTGATATCATATTAGATAATGCAAATCAAGAACAAGAAGCCACAAATCGAAAGATTTTATCGAGCATTATCAAATGTATCATGTTTATTGCTAAACAAAATTTAGCCTTTAGAGGTCATGATGACGATGGTATTGATCATAAGTCCAGTGAAAATTTAGGTAATATAGTTTTTGCATTAAAAAATCTAGCAGATAATCATTTTATTTTATTAGGAAATTTCAAAGAATTAATTCTTTTTCGTGCCGATAGTGGAGATAAAATGTTAGAAACACATTTACATACTGCTGCTAAAAATGCAATGTACATGAGTGCAGAAATTCAAAATCAATTAATTAATATTTGTGGGAATATGATCAAAGAAGAAATCGTTCGTCATGTGATTGAAAAAAAAAAGTTCTATTCGATTATTGCAGATGGTACTTCGGATATCAGTGGAACAGAACAATTATCTCTATCAATTCGTTATTTATCATATGACAATGATCAAATAGATATTAAAGAAGATTTCATTGGATTTACACCTGTTGCTGATGGTTCAGCAAAAGGTATATCGGAAAAGATTATGGATTATTTACGAGCAGTGGGTCTTGATTTGGCTTATCTCAGAGGTAAAAGATTTCGTTTATCAAATCGTTTGTTGAAGCAAGAGATCCTCTACAAATTTAGGTCAAGGTTATGATGGTTGTAGCGTTATGTCTGGTCATCTTGGTGGTGTCCAAAAACTTATTTCTAATATTGAACCAAAAGCCATATATGTGCATTGTGCTAGCCATTCACTGGATCTCGCGATTTGTGATGCATGTGATGATCGAAATATTCAATTATTTTTTGGTACGATTAAAAATATTGTACGATTTATTAGTTCATCACCAAAAAGACAAAACTTATTGAAAAGTGCTATAGGCGCAACCAGTTGTGATACGAAACGAAAGAAATTAACTAAACTAGTTGAACATCGCTGGGTTGAAAAACACACCTCAGTTTTAGTTTTCAAGCAATTATTCTCAGGTGTAGTCATATTCCTCGAACACATGATAGAAAGTAGTGATTCAGAAACTAGTGCAAACTCACTTGCTTATTTCAAGTCAGTAAAAGATCTGGATTTTATTATATGTTTATTTGTCGTCTCACGTGTATTTGCAATATTAAAGCCATATACAGAAATGCTTCAAAGTAAAAACTGTGAATTAATTCAACTCTATGACAACATTCAAAATGTAGCTACTCATCTTGCTGAATTAAAATACGATACAACGAAATTTGAAGAACTTACTGCTGAATTAGAGGTGTTTTGTCGTGATAATGATATTATTTTTACACTTCCAAGAAGAAATAAATATAATAATGTGAATGATTATTTAAAATCTATTTATGAAAAATTCATTGATACAACTCTATCAGAATTAGGTGCAAGATTTAGTGAACATCAAAGAAGTATTATTTATATTATCAATTTACTACCTTCAAATGTTGTTGACAAAACATTGATGGACGTCGAGAATATATTTAGATTTTATGAAAGTGATTTACCAGCAAAAAATGCTGATTTAGTCAAAGCTGAATTTGAGTTGTGGCAGCATAAATGGAAAAAATCTTCAGCAGATGAGCGACCATCAAACATTATTTCCACGTTAAATTCACTTCTTCCAATCAAGTCGTTTTATCCAAATTTATATTGTTTATTTGAAATATTTGCAGTTTTGCCAGTGACTGTTGCAACGGCAGAAAGATCATTTTCCACAATGAAGAGAATAAAAACAACACTTCGAAACAGTATTGGTGATAATCGGTTGAGTGATCTTGCTTTGATTCATATTCATCGTGATATAGCAAACAGTTTAGATGTGGAAGATATTATCGATATTTTTTGTAAGAAAAAGCGTCGAATTAAATTCGTCAACTAGTGAGCAGAACATTTTCTAGTTTAATTTCATTATTAACAAACATTTGTTTTTGAATCTATTTTTCGAAATAAAATATGAAGTTATGTTAATATTCTCTTTCAGATAGACTATTGAAAATACATGATAAAATATCAAGCATTTTCACTGAACTTATAACGACTTATTTCGCTTTTATTTGAATCAAATCAGACGTGATCAGAAATACTTACATACCCTGTGCACCCCCCCCCCCCCCCCCCCCCCCCCCCACCCCCCCCCCCCCCCCCCCCCCCCCCCCCCCCCCCCCCTCCTCCCCACCCCCCCCCCCTCCCCCCCCCCCACACCCACCACCCCCCACC